AGCTCCTCTCTTGATACACACTTCATCTCTATGCGTATCGAGATCGAAGACGTTGGATTTCGAAGATGTGATATCACAGGTGGCAGGCAGTCAGGATATGCTGGCAACCATAAAACGTCTGCGTCTAACGTTCAACATAAATTAATGAAGACCATGGATAGGTGTCTTGATCTCATTGTGGAATGCAATTGTATTCTATTATTTTTGTAATGTGAATTTCGACGTTTTTTTATTATGCTCATCAGTGTTACTTTTGGTTTGTTTTTCTTACTTTGTTTTTTCCTTTTTGAGAACGTGACCATATTGCATTTGTCTCCGATTGTTGGTGTAGTCAATGAATTAGAGATGCGTATTCTCCCGGAACACCTGGATTTATGAAGCCGTTCTCATGCTCAACCATGTATTCCGTGCTCAAACCAACTTTCTTGTAACTCGCTTAAATCATGTCGAACGATAAAAAAAGTCAAATGTAAACATTGAAAACAGTTTTCTGCTTTAGTTATCTTCAACGTCGTTCCAAATTATTGACAAAATCATATTTATTTATGAATTTATACGGGGAACAAGAAATTGGGCTTGAGCACAAAATCCATGCTTGAGCATGAGAACAGTTTTATGAATACGGGCGGGTGTTGCCCTAGTTGCCCTTTTTCCTGTGACCAAAAATAATCTGGACCAAGGTTTTTGAAGATTTTCCTCTATTTCATATGGGATTTCCTTCTTATATCAACCATTCCTTGAACTATGATTTTCTTTGGCTTCCCCTTGCCAGCAGTTCGAATGATGTAGATTTTTAAGATTATGATAATGATGATTTGTAAGACGACGACGACGACGACGACAACGATGATGATAATGATGAAAGTGATGACAATACTGATTTCGATGATGTTGTTGTTACTGCTGATTTGTGATGAATGTACCAGTTATATGAAATTATTTGTTGTTGTACAAATGCAAATCCTATACGTTGTAAAACTTACGGAAATAAATTGAATTGAGTATCTATATATGCCTAAGTGTGTCGCCCACACAAGGAGTCGACTACTTCTACTCTAAACAAAAGGGGATTAATCCTCCATAGCCCGTATGGCGTGTTCTCGTTTCCCCCACTTTTTATATAACAAAGGAAGGTGTTGATTTAGGAAGACAATGGCAAACCAATTATAGTCTGTTTCATACTTACCTGTGTGAAAGTTACCTGTGTGAAAGTTACCTAATAAGGTTTTAATTCTTTTTTGGTGGTTCAAATACCTTTAACATTACATTTCAAAACATGTTAAGAAGTTAAATCCATCAATATAAACTGTACATTACATTTACTAATCACACAATACAATAAGAATAGTAAAGTTTAGTAATAGCAATCTCAAATTGCCCCCCCCCCCCCTCAAATTTATATCATATCTCCAATTTAAAGTTCAAGTCCAACAGCCAAGAGGCATACATTTTTGTTGTTATCTATCCCAAATGTAAGAGATGTGATGCTGCATTGGCGTACTCCATAAGCTGGGTCAGTCGGCTACTGATGTTTCGGTATCGTTTCTCGTTTGGTCTGTTGACTCCTCCTGCATCTCGTTGTATCCTGTTGATCTCGTTGGCTGCCTGAATCTCCTGGAACACTATGATGATGGCGAAGATTTTTGGGTGTGCATGGTGAACCTTCTTCTTCAACTTCCCGTGCCAGGCCTCTAGGTGATGATGCGCGAGTCATCTCCATCATCAAAAGCAGAAACTGTTCCCCGGCAGTCGTCATGGTCCAGAATTCGTCTAGGTCAATGTCTCGGGTGGTCATTCAATTCAACTTTATTCAACTTTTTTCTCTTTCACAATACAATGTATAGAGAAACATATTTACAATATAATATATAGTAATTGTAGTGTTCGTAGTCGGTAGTACACAGTACTGTTTCATAATATATACACATTTATATCGAGGAGGTCAAATATTGTTATTAATTATTCCAATAAAAGTACAAAGTTTCTTCAATGTTTTTATATTAGTAGTATTCATCAATTCATAAAACTTAATCACATTTGGTCTCGTCCAAAAATATTTGTCTATATATAAAATTCATTGGTAACTTTGGTGTCTGCGTCCATCTGGCTCGGTAAAGACTAGCGTGCATTGAGTAAAAGGTCGGTAGAGGCTTGGCAATTCTCTCACTGGCATCATTCCTTTCGTCGGTCCGGAGCTTGGTCACTTCCTCGTTTTAGATACTCTGTATTGGCGTATGCTGTCCATAATTATAGATGTTCAATGATGTTTATGATAGTTATAAGATACTTATAACATCTAGGAATTTTGATTAATTAACTGATTAATTAACTGTCACACACCTCACTCTAAGTCACGCATTACATTCTTACATTTTGTACAAGGTAATGTAGGCATCTTATTAATGTTACAATAATAAAGATTATTTAATAACTATTTATATTAATATTTTTAAAGTACCAGAAAATGAAATAACACATTTCATCTTATCATATCAGCAGCACAAGGACTACAAAATGGATATATTTAATACTGAATATATATATTTATATATATGATTAATATTTAAATAATTTAAATTTTAACATTTGTCATTTCAAATCTGAAAAAACTTGTATTATGTATTAATAAATTAAATATGATAAAACACCACCTTAGATAGCAGTGAAAGTATAATTCCCAATCTTAGAAAAAAAGAAGTTCTAGATTTTTGTTGGCAGAAATTAATATACATGCAGAACCGCCATTGCAATTATAATATATTAGTATATTAGTGCAAAAATCTGTCTTTTCTGAGTTTAAAATTTAAATTTTAAAACACCTTATATCAATTCCTGTGTCCCGGCCATTGAATGTAAGCTATCCAATTTCGTCACTCTAGCGTTACTATGTTGTCCATATAATCGTCTGGGTTGTCGGAGTCGGAAAGATGACACACAGAAGCTTGTTGTTGTTTCAATTGATTATTTTGTATTCAGGAATTCCACAGATTATTAAGTACAATATAACAAATTTTATACAGATGTTGTACATATACATTTCTTAGAGGAGTACAACGTTAGTCCGAGCGTAACCTCTCGAGTCGGAGACCTGACTCGGCCGAATCTATTTTCTAACTATTCATGTTTCAATGTATACCTATGACAGGTGTCCACGTTTCCTGGTGTAGCAAGTGTCATTATTTATGAAATATTACATAAATCTGTACCATTGTTAGATGTCAGATAGCTTAAAGCTTATACATCAATGATATAAATTCCTATTCAAAGTCACCTGTGCAGGTTTCCATGTCACTAGTTTAAGGTCAGCAGGAAGATAATTATTATAAGGTAATAAAAAAATATATAAAATATGATATTGTTCAGATTTGACCAGAACGAAATATTGTCTCTGAGGCGTATTCCAGGTAGTCATTAGTTATCAGTTGAAATAATTTATATTTTCTTTGAACCGAGTGGTCTATGAAATATACTGAAAATACAGATATGTACAGTTAAAATGAAAATATAGATCGTTTAAAATGTTCCCAAAGTTAATAAAAACTGCCGTTTGAGTGTGTCTCCATTTTCACAATTTCACACCGTAACAAATGCATAATTTTTACTTTGTTCTTTCGCTATTATGTTTCCCCAATGTAATTTTTGGTTATTTTGGTTTTTTTCGCTATTATGTTTCCCCAATATATTTCTTTGTTATTTTGTTTTTTCGTTTTTATATTTCCCCAAGCAACTATTTGTTATCATGTTTTTTCGTTTTATTGTTGCCCCAATAGTATCATTATGTTTTGGTTTGTTATCATGTTGCCCAGATATTTTTATTTACTGCCTTTTTTATAATGTTGCCTCCAAGCGAACTATAACGATTGTTGATAATGAAATAGAAGAGGCCAATTTCATGACCTACATTATATTCATAACATGTACTTTTGAAGGGCTATGTGTATCGATCGGCGTAATTCAGTGATCAGAAAACGTCCCTAATTATACGGGCACTTTTTCTACCGGAACAGAAAATGTTATTGCAAATATTTTGCAAAGATTACCAGAAACAGGGACAGTATATTATACGTCCCTGCCAGAAAGAAATGCCCCTGAGGGAAAACATTTATGAAACGTATATCGATGTCCTAGAAAACGACTTTTGTGATCTGCGTATTCACAGGAAGAAAAACATCTAAACATAGTTACAATTTAGTGTAGTGAATTTCCGCATCGTGTTCCCAGGAGTTGACCATCCTTACCGAGCACTGTCCTACAGCGGTTATTCCACGCGCAGACACCTACCTAAGTACTACGCAGAACTCTTCCTTTTGGAAGTCCGAAGTTTGGTAACCAAACAAGGTGGAAATGTCCTTGTAATTTTTTTTTACAATAAATATCCATTATGTACTGAACTGTAAAAAATAAAGGGTTTGACCAATGGTTATTTGTTTTTATGATTCCCAAACAGAAATGTAATTAATCCAATTGAAAATGTGGAGATAACCATAATTAATATATAAGAAATAGAGGTTTCCGAACTGTATATTATTAAATATCCAAATCTCACTTCTAACTAACATTATATAAAAAAATATTGTATAATTAAATTTATCAATTACATGACTCTGACTCAGTTTCACGTAATCTAACGTTATATATATATTTATTTCATCGTAAATATCCATCTGTTTGGTAATTTTTCTTGATCTGAGACATGTTCTATTTTTGTTTGATACACTCAACAGTGTTACGTGATACAGCGTAAATACAGCTGATGCCACGATTATGTATGACTCCCCTTTTAGCTGTAAACGAGACACACTAATCATTTCTATATCGGTGGACACGAGTACAATACCGAGTTGAACCCTATCACTGGGGATTTCCGCGTCGACCTAGTGAGTATGTTCATACACGCCTGCTCGGCGTGATTGACACACAGGCCGTTTACTACAGCTGGAGAGAAAACCACCAGTGCGTGCAAACTAAAGGGAAAAACCAAACGGGGATTCCCCTGAAAATTTCCTGTGGCCTACAATACAAAGACCGACCTGTGTACCAACCTGTGTTATCTGCGTTGCTGGCTTGCGGCCTACGTTTGTGGAAATACCAGACTGGATTGTGAATAATCTAAAGCTTTCACAAGGTATTTTACAATTCCTAAAGGTTTTCCAGAGCGACAGAGTTATAAACTGTACTGAGAGGCATAGTTTCAACATACAATATTTAACTCGTTAACACTGAAGGAGTCTTACTGAAAGTATTCGATCGACCTTGTGTCGGACTGAGACGCCATATTTGATATCAGTGAGTGACGTTGGTACATACAGTATATTGGCATTGCGCTAATAGTATTGTGATATAAAGACTATTATTGTGCTACAGTACACCAACTTGGACACCATGAATGACTTAGAGACTGATGGCGAGAGAGTTGTACGGCCAAGCCTGAAGAGAATGGATCATTTAAATAAACTTCACGAGAAAGACATGGAGAACTCGGGTAGTTTGGAATCCGGCTATGGTTCAGCTGGTTCTATGTCGTTTACCAGTGGGGATGTGAAAAGTTTAAGGGAAGAAGTATCTCGTCTTCACAGTAACTCTATGGGAGGTCTACCGGAGCAATGTGAAAGTATTACAGACAATACGGACGTAGGGTGTTTGTCGGACAAGATTAATGCTATGACCGTCACGGACGACGAAGGATTTACCGATGAAAGTCCAGCAGTGGAATGCGAGGATAGGGTCACGCCCGAAGCTTTGATGGTGTATGGCACAGACTCTGAAGGCGACAATCTTCTGTTTTTGGCAATTATAAACGGACAAATATCTTTGGCAAATGTTATCATACAGATGGCGCCAGCAGCAGTGTGGCTTGACATTTACAATGACAAGTTGAGACAGACAGCGTTACATCTCGCTGTGTTGATGAAGCAGGCGTCTGTTGTAAGGAGACTGGTTGTAGGGGGCGCTTGTTTGGAAATGTGTGATCGTAATGGAGACACACCTCTCCACATCGCGTGCCGACAGGGAGATATGGAAACAGTTAACGCGCTGTTAGAGCCTGTCCGTTATGAAGAAATCCAAATGAACGAGTACTCCATTCGCTACCAGAGAATTCCACAAAATCTGGAAGTAAGAAACTCTGCAGGTTGCACCTGCATACACGACGCAGCGGAAAACGGACACATGAACATTATGAAAATGCTTCTTTCCAAAGGAGCTCAAATAAACAATGGTGACGCTAAACGGGGGGCAACAGTGCTTCACCGAGCGGCAGAGCGGGGAGACCTCAGTCTTACCGCATTTCTCCTTGGACTTACCGATATCAATGTGGACAGTAAAATGTACGATGGTGCCACACCGGCAGTCATTGCTTACGGCAGGCGACACGGACAAATTGTGGACATTCTGAAAAGATTTGGAGCAAAGACTGATAATTTGAGTGATAGGTTCGAAATTGACGATGATAGCGATTCTGATGTGTAAAAAGGAGATATTTTTATTCGAACTATTTTCCAAACTTCTAAATTTTTCGATGAAAGTTAATATTTGCAGAGAAATTTTGAACAACCAATATTTGAAGGCAGCTGATAGTATTACAAAGTGTAAGAGAGAGGTTGTGAACTGTTGAGAGTGGAATATTGATCAATTTTAATTTTATTGATTGACGGCATCAAACAAATCCGAAGGGGGTGTGGGTTACTTAATTTCTGATCGTAAATTAAAACATCCACGAACATTAGAGAACTCAGATAATGAAATCCTATGATTCAATAAGTTCTTGATCATATTTAGTTCGAACAGTGCGTAGTTTTAAGTACTGGGATTTACGTAGTATTATGTACTTGGGAGATCTCTGATATGGTAGCTACGCCATAGAATGTCTGGGAAATACCAGATAAGTAGAACTACGCCGTATATACATAGTCGTGGTCGATCTGAGTCTATACAGGAATCCGCGCTAAATACAGGTGCGCCAGATTAGCATATCGCACCTGGTGACCTCGGGGATACAACATTATAGGCGAGACTTCCTGGTACAAAGTTTAATATTGATGTATCGCTTATCCTGACTAATTAACAAGAGGGACACTGAGACTAGCAGTATATATATCAACGACGGTCTAATTTATTAACTAAATTCTACAATGATATTTTTGCACGTGTATGTCTGAGATATGTGTAAAGGAACTATTTGACACTCCTTAAGTTCATTTATGAGTGGGTAACACGTTGTTATTTCCTTGGTGTATATAGTAGGTGTAAGTTTATGTCTAGTAGTATAGTAGAGCTAAATGAAAGCCGAGTTTATTGAGCTAAATGATTAATCATGATTCCATACACATTTACTATTGCGGAGAGCTAAACTTTCCTGGCTGGTTTTTGAGATGGTTTCACAATGCTCTATCAGTTCTGATCTTTCGTTTTGGCTGGTCAATAGTTTAATATTTGTGTATGGTTGATAACATTTTATTTTCTATGATTTAAGATTTCGTCAATTACGAACAAAACCAATAAATTAAGAGGTACAACAAAGGGTTACGTGAAGGAAAACGTACAAAGTCTTAAACTAAATACCTTATATATTTGAAATCGTTAGTTAAAGATGAACATTTTAATTTGTAGTAAAATACAATGATATTTGATATGTATTTATATTATGTGTATAATATTTGTGTAAGTTATATGTGTTTAGTTATGTTACAAAATAAAATGAAAATGAAACTTACTTCAATATTTTATTTTTATTTATGTATTTTGGTTGATACCAGACAGTTCCTTGAATTGGAAACCAGGAAAATTACTATGAAAAACCGCATTGTATTTATGATTGAGAGAAGACGCTGACACGTATGTTTGAACGAACAGGCAGAGGGGACATTTTACATAAATGAGAGTCAATTTTAAACGCACAAAAAACTATCGACATGAGCAAATAATTGATGATTGAATAATATATGAACATCACGGTACTTGGCGCGTTTATGGATGAAAGGGTGAGCCATTTCCTTTCAGGACGTAGTTCAGCGTAAAAACCCAAGTCTATTTATAGAATTGTTTGAGGTCTAATAGCTGTTAGACGTAATGAATTACCTGTTTTAGATCGACCGCATACCGAGCTGACCTATGGGGAAAACCAAGTTACACTAGCTAGCACTCCTTGAAAATGTGTTTTTCCCCTCGAGTTGGAAATTAGACTCTTGAAAAGGATCATTATCGTCGATTTATCTTAAAGATTTTTAGAGAATGATATCATTGTCCTGTTGATTCTATCATATTTTATACAACTATAATGAATAGTTCAATTATTACTTCGATCAGACATGTTAATAAGTCTCCACGAATTAATTATTAAAAGTTGAAGTACAATGCGTTTCACGTTGAACCTTTCTAAACTATTGTAAACATGTGTCTCGGTAATATTTTGTATGATGTCAATTAAAATGAATCACAAAACCTGCACATGACGATCTCAATAAAATACATATATTTAATATCACGACGAGAGGTCAACTGAACATCACCCGTCAGTCGACTTTCTCAGATCTCCATAACGTAGCGATATTGAAAATATATAAGACTGCTGCACATTTAAATGGCGATTTTCTAGCTACGTCTTCATAATACAAAAAGTCATTTTCCCTAACATGAGGTTATGACAAAGAAACAACATAAATGATTGAGCGTACAAACACGAGGCTTTCCGAAGGCTGAATTTCGAGAAATAAAATGAAAGTTATGTCAGCCAAGGCTTTCTGTATCATATAACGTCATCTGATTGTAATGTAAAAGCTAACGTCATTGCTTTTTTTTTTTTGTGACGTTACAGAAAACGTGCAGCCTTATATCACCCGAGAGTGGGACGCGAAAACCCCAACCACCGGGAGAATCACGGATATGCCGGTCTAGGGTAAGGGAAAGCACGAAAACAAATCTGTCCCGTAATAGAGAAAGAAGTAGGCATTTTCAGATCTGATAAAACTATCTACTTGGTTTCCATAAGAGGTATGCCTGTACACTCCTCGGTTCCACACCTGTTGTCAGTATAATGTGACTGGGCGGAATGCTGTGCCGGGTGCCTTCGGCATATGGTATTTCAGTGATTTAGCACTATATAAAGTCGGCATCAGATCAGCGCTATCACAATGAGGCTAATACACCAACATACCCTGTCTCTGGCACACATGCAGGCATACACAACAAACATGCAGGCACGTCCTTAAATGACCTAAGATGCTGATAGGACGTTAAACTTAATAAAACCAAAGCAATCCTCAGGCCTGAACGGTCACTGCCGCATCTAGAGTTCTCTATAGGACAATAGAAGTCTCGTGTGAACTAATAATATTGTCAATTTCGCGAAGTTTTGTTTTGGCGGTTTGGTAAAGAATATGCCACTCCGTACTGCGTAAACTCACGAATCTGGCGTAACATTGTGCAGCCATGCGTAAATTTTACTGTCGCGCATATTGACTTCTAGATAGTATTAACACTTTTATTCGGATGATTATATAGAACAACATAACAGTGTCTGAGTCCAAGGCACGGTGTGGATTAACAGGATAGGGCCGTCTGGGTACATCGGACTGTAAGTTCTTGAGGGAACCTTCCTGTTCTTAAAATAATTCAAAGTTCGAAAATTGCCTTCTCTGCATGAAGTAATGTAGTGACATAATACAAACTACCGAGGTGGGTCGACATTGCTGGTCCTAAATGGCATAGCCGCTGTAGAATTGTTGCCAAACAATTCATTATCTCAAAATGAGACTACTAACACTGTATTAACTAAGTTGCATTACAACCTAGTCAACGATTGTTCTCGGCCTTGAACTTTGATTCCACTCGAGCGAGCGATGGAAATTATATACATACAACACAACGCAACAGATGACACCGCGGTGATTTTATGAGACGAGTTTCGTGGAATGTATGGTATAATACATGTTTATCCTATACTTCCTTGTTCTTGTTTACGCTCTGGATATCGTTTCAGGGTTCTATTATACCCTAGAATCTATCATATGAAGTGGTTGGAGAAGATAGGGAGTGGCTATTCTGTCGAGGGTGTCTTTGGGCAGTGGAATTTGAATCAGAACCGACACTGTCTTTGGGCAGTAGAATTTGGGTTAGAACCGAGACTGTCTTGGGGCAGTACAATTTGGGTTAGAACCGAGACTGTCTTGGGGCTGTGGAATTTCAGTCAGAAACAGGACATACTTTGGGCAGTAGAATTTCGGTCAAAACCGGGACTGTCCTTGGACAGTAGAATTTCAGTCAGAACAAGAACATACTTTGGGCAGTAGAATTTCGGTCAAAACCGGGACTGTCTTGGGCGGTAAAATTTCGGTCAGAACCGGGAGTGACTTTGGGTAGTAGAATTTCGGTCAGAACCGGGACTGTCTTTGGGCAGTAGAATTTCGGTCAGAACCGGGACTGTCTTTGGGCAGTAGAATTTCGGTCAGAACCTGGACTGTCTTTGGGCAGTAGAATTTCGGTCAGAACCTGGACTGTCTTTGGGCAGTAGAATTTCGGTCAGAACCTGGACTGTCTTTGGGCAGTAGAATTTCGGTCAGAACCTGGACTGTCTTTGGGCAGTAGAATTTCGGTCAGAACCTGGACTGTCTTTGGGCAGTAGAATTTCGGTCAGAACCTGGACTGTCTTTGGGCAGTAGAATTTCGGTCAGAACCTGGACTGTCTTTGGGCAGTAGAATTTCGGTCAGAACCGGGACATACTTTGGGCAGTAAAATTTCGGTCAGAACCAAGACTGTCTTTGGACAGTAGAATTTCAGTCAGAAACAGGACATACTTTGGGCAGTAAAATTTCGGTCAGAACCAAGACTGTCTATGGACAGTAGAATTTCAGTCAGAACAAGAACATACTTTGGGCAGTAGAATTTCGGTCGAAACCGGGACTGTCTTGGGCGGTAAAATTTCGGTCAGAACCGGGAGTGACTTTGGGTAGTAGAATTTCGGTCAGAACCGGGACTGTCTTTGGGCAGTAGAATTTTGGTCAGAACCTGGACTGTCTTTGGGCAGGACATCTTTTTTAATCGAGAACAATTTAAAAAAAACCCGCCTTATAACAATCACAAGCGTCTCAAATGATACAAACTTCTCGAAAACACAAACTGTCTGACTATTGTATAAAGACATGTAACAGAACACTCACTGGTTTCTCTGTCTACTGACTGCAATCTTCTATGGTGAACAGTTTAATTTTCATTGTGCATTATTTCGTTGATATATGACGTAATTACCTGGTGTTTAAATATGAGGTTGGAGACATTTAGCATATTGTATATGCACATTGATGTACAAAATTCCTTGTATGTTCTACATGTATAAAACACATAGGATAACACCATGATTAATGCAAAAGTCAGTTACTCCAAAGCTTAACTTACTGATGTACTTATTGTAAATATCTTCGTTTCCGCCATGTCACATAGTTGTTATACCTGATGACCTCTTGCTACCCGCGTTTGGGTGTCCGAGTGTATGCATTTAAACTTGAAATATATCTTGAATATTGCTAGTCAATAGATTTATGCGTTGTTGGTTTTACAACATGTATTATAGAGTAATTTTACAAATCATACAGGATTGTTACGGCAATTGTTACGTCATTTGTTTGTGAAAGTAACGTCATCTATTTTTGAGAAAACGACGTAATTTCCTCACACAAAACAATGACGTAACAATTAATACCTGCTCACAAGAGAAGATAACTCTGCAATACGCAAAGACGGAATATTCACTCGAACATTCGTTACGCAGGGATAACGATATGTATATTTATACGACGTCCTGTATGATTTGTAAAATTACTCTATGATAGATGTTGTATATCCTAGACTGACAGAAGCATACATGTATATATGGCATCTACATCTCTACTGTACAATTAGCGTGTACGTCGTTGATATTCATGTGAATGTAGGTTGACGTTGTATTTACTAGACGTCTAGTTCCGCTTTACCATTTCGCCATAACAGGACGAACCGGACAGAGCTACAAACATGGCGTCCGAAAATATAAATGGGGAGTGAAGTCAGCCTTATCCCTCACCTTAGTAAACAGTAACTTATTGGGTGAGGAAATGGTTAAGTGGGTAAAAAAGTACATGTAGATAGTTTGAATAGTCCTGACTATTATGAACACAGTTTTTATAAAAAAAATAAATAAAAAAAAAATTGTATGTATTGTAAATTTTCTGAAGCAATCAAAAGTCTTCATTGTCATATCATACTAAGCTCCAAAAAGGAATATGCAACGTTGGTCTTTCGTATGGATGTCAACTATAGGATTAGGTGGTTGGAATACATCTGCTTTGATCCAACAGATCACATGGATAATGATATTAACCTTGTCTGCACTTCAAATTAGTTCAATTCCTTCTGAACAGTGAAATGCAGAAGAACTTTAGTTTTGGTCAAAATACCCTACTCTTAGGTATATATCAGTTACCCTGTACCATTTTCCCTAACGGCCATATAGGAAAGATATTGTTTTGATAAAAAAAAGTATAGCTATTATCTGAATGGACAAATGGTCATTGGAAAGAAAACGGAGGAAAAAATAAAACATTCAATAAAACTTAATACAAAAAATGACGTGTTTCAGTTTACTTCAATACTTGGCTACCATCTTCGGGTTTCCTGTACTTGTTTGCACTGCCT